CGAACTTCTATCGTCGGTTCATTAGAAACTTCAGCATCACCGCAGCACCTCTCACATCCCTACTTCAAGGTGGAGGACATCGGTTAAAGTGGTCATCCAAGAGTATTGCAGCATTTCAACAGCTCAAGGAGAAATTCACTACAGCCCCCATTCTGCACCACCCAGATCCTGAACGAGAGTTTATTGTGGAAGTAGACGCTTCCAATACAGGAATCGGGGCTATATTGTCACAACGGCATGGTAATCCAGCGAAACTTTTCCCCTGCGCCTATTATTCTCGCAAACTTACTCCAGCTGAACGCAACTATGATGTAGGTGACAGGGAACTTCTGGCAATGAAGGCAGCATTGGAAGAATGGCGGCATTGGTTGGAGGGAGCTCATCTGCCCTTCACGGTACTAACTGACCACCGTAACTTAGAATACATTAAGGCTGCCAAAAGACTGAACCCCAGACAGGCCAGGTGGTCCCTCTTCTTCACCAGATTTGATTTCAAGGTAACCTATCGCCCAGGCTCCAAGAATGGCAAGGCCGACTCTTTGTCTCGTCAGTTTGACAGCTCCTCTAGCCCTCTTTCATCTGATCCTATACTTCCTACGACACTTATTCTTGCTCCGGTACAGTGGGACATAATGACCGAAATTTCATCCGCACAGAGTGAGGAACAATCACCGCCTGAATGCCCTCCAGATCGTACCTACGTGCCTACCTGTCTACGCACACGAGTATTACAATGGGTGCACAATACTCCCAGCGCAGGGCATCCTGGGATCACAGCTACTACCCATCTTGTAATGAATCGTTTCTGGTGGTCGACACTTCAGGCCGACGTGATAACCTTCGTGCATCAGTGCACCACTTGTAACATTTCCAAATCATCCCATCAGAGACCGGCCGGATTACTTCAACCACTTCCTGTACCACAACGTCCATGGTCGCACATTGCTATTGACTTTATAACTGATCTACCTCCCTCACAGAATTATACGACAATTGTGACCGTGGTTGATCGATTCTCGAAGGCTTGCAGATTCATTCCGTTGGCCAAACTACCCACAGCTTTAGAAACAGCAGAGGCTTTAGTGCAACAGGTTTTCAGACTGTACGGATTACCTGAGGATATCGTATCAGATAGGGGTCCCCAGTTCACCTCTCGGGTTTGGCGTGCGTTATGTGGTCAGCTGAACATTAATGTCAGTTTGACGTCTGGCTATCACCCACAGTCCAACGGGCAAGTAGAGAGGTTAAATCAGGAGCTCACCCGCTTCCTACGTACATACTGTCATCAAAATCAGCAGGATTGGAGCCGTTTCCTCATGTGGGCCGAGTATGCCCAGAATTCATTGCGCAAACCTTCTACTGGCCTCACCCCCTTCCAATGTGTGCTAGGTTATCAACCCCCTCTGTTTCCCTGGTCTGGAGAACCCACGGATCTCCCGGCCATTAACGCTTGGCTACAGAGAAGTGAGGAGACCTGGAATAATGCTCACGTACACCTTCAACGAGCAGTTCGCAGAGTCAGAGAACAGGCTGATCGTCACCGGAGAGGGGGACCTAACTACCTTCCGGGACAATGGGTATGGCTGTCATCCAGGGACCTCCGTCTTCGTCTTCCCAGCAAGAAGCTAAGTCCTAGGTACGTGGGTCCATTTAAGATTCTTAGACAAATTACACCAGTCTCATACCGTCTAGCATTGCCATCCACTTACCGCATATCTCCCACTTTTCATGTTTCATTGCTCAAACCTGCCGGAGTTCCGAGTGGAGAGAGGGACCAGGACGAGGCTGCGGAGGCAAGCTCCCCTCCTATCATCATCGAGGGCGAGGAGGCTTACCGTGTAAAGGAGATTCTCGACTCAAGACGCCGAGGCAGGGAGCTACAGTACCTGATCGACTGGGAGGGGTATGGTCCAGAAGAAAGATCCTGGGTTAAATCACAGGATATACTGGATCCCGCACTTACCACCGAGTTTCATCAAAACCACCCCACAAGACCTGCCCCCAGACCCCGTGGAAGACCTCCGCGCCGCACTGGTCCTCGCTTCCGGAGCCGCTCGCAGGAGGGGGGCTCTGTCATAGATCGCACCTCTGTGGCTCTCTCCGCTCATCCTAGAACACCTTCACCAGAGTATTGAACTGCATTTCCCAGAGGCCCCGTACCTAGGTCTAATTATCTGCACAGGTGTTCCCACTTCTCTCCTCTATATAAACAGCTTTCTGACTCACACACTTTGCGAAGTCTTGTTCTGCCCCGGCTAACATTACCAAGCGTTTATCTACTGTCTTTTGATTCCCCGTGTATTGACCTGTGACTGTTTATCGACTCCCGTCTCCTTGTCTGCTGCCTGCCTTGACCTTTGCCTGTTCTCGTTTGGATTTTGGATATTGCCGCCTGCCCTGATCTCTGCCTGGTATCGTTTATGCTCTTGGACTGCCTGCTACATTGTCTATGCTGTTTTCTGATTCCTGCCTGTTTGACTATCCTGAATAAACCACTGCAAATGGATCCGACTGTCTCTGACTCTGCATCACACTAGCATACACATAATACATTATAGACTTCGATAATTCAATGTTAGGCTGCATAGATTAGGTCAGCCGGAACTGGGAACACTTCCCTTAAATACAGATGTACTCGTTACATCATTAGAAGAATGGCATCTACGCTAACTTTAGTGTCTTTGTTTATCCCGAGGTTTTCCTGCAGCCTGCCGGATCCAGGCCGTATCCAGATCTGACGAAGGAGATTCGCCTGGACCCGATGACAATGCAGTGCTGAAGTGTCAACTATCCTCTCCCTATGGAGGATCCCTTTCCCACTCTACAGATAAAGCGTTGTTGAAAATCCGGTTCGCGTACCTCGAAGTGATAAAATAAAATTCTGTATCAAATTTATAGGCAAGACAAGTAGTTTCTTTAAGCATGGTTTGTTGGGAAATTACAAACCTGCGCACACATATTTAAACGAATTTAACTATAGAATAAATTTTTAATGCGCATGTGAACGCCATCAGGTCGCAGGTTTCGCGTTTAAAGTCTGTTTAGAGAGAACGCCGTCGTCTTAGTGGCCCCTAATGTAATAACAAATGATCATTTTGCTGGAAGTGAATCAATCAAAACCAACTTTAGCTGGAAATAACATTATTCAAAAATCGCTATAAAGTAGTGCTGGGCCGTTATCGGCGTTAACGTGCTGCGTTAACGTGAGACTCTTATCGGGCGATAAAAAAAAATATCGCCGTTAATCAAAGTTGGGTTGGGATCATAAATAGCTTTTTCGAATATCGTTATATTTTCGCGCAATTCTAATGTGTAGCCTATGACGCCGCGCCTACTGTCACAGATCGCGCAGTAGGGTATTTTCCTGTCAGGGACACAAGGTGTACTTTTACTTTGTTACGTTGGGCGACGTTCCTCTCGTTACTTTATTTTAATGCAATACGTTGTTAAATTAGTTTATTCCAAGCGCGCTGTGTCCTTTGTATGGGCATGAGCGATGCTCATTTACAAATGAATCACTCTTTTGAGTCGATTCTGTTCAAAGACTTCATCAAACAAGTTGTCAGATGATCTGTCTAAATCGGTTCGCGAATCAGTTGATCTGTTCAGTTCCTCGCGCACTGAATCGTCTGAAGCGCTTTCAATTCACACTCGGAGTCGAAACAGGAAGATTTAAGAGCATCAAGAGCGTTGGATGAAGTGGCCGATCTACAGTCTAGTCTAGTGAATGCAAATCTGCAAATGCATCATATTTTTGCCAGCGATGAATATCTTTATTAGTTGAACATCTTCGTAAGCTGTCTGTGAATGAATGATTCCACAGGACGATACATTCGATTTCATTTCATTCAGGTATACATTGTGTGTGTATTGCGCGTGTATTGCGCAGTGGCATAATCACACGAATAGTTTACATTGATTGAAACTAATTTGTTTAAAAATGAGGCTATTGCAGTAACAAGGCAGGTTCACATAAAATTCTTATGACATATGATTACATTATTTTTTGGTCTAACGAGCATTGGCGATGCAAAAACGGACTGTCGTGCGTGTTGTTTTTTTTCTTCTTCCAATTAGCCTACTATGTTAAAAAAAGGACGAAAACATGTTACTTGTTCAATTAATAAACAGTTTGTTTGATGACAAATCGCTAAAGATGAAATTGGCCTCCCTTTCTGTCATTGCGTTTTTTTTTATTTATTTTTTTTATACGATATTCGACTTTTGCTCCTCGATTGTCGAATGGCATTTTTGGCAGAAATGCCCATCCCTACGCGAGGCAAACTATTCTCAAAGACTTACTTTTAGTCATTATTTGGGTATAGCACACATATTCTGAATGCCTTTGGGAGAATTCAAATGAGCCATTTTAATCTAGATTAATCTAGATTAATTTCAATATTAATCTAGATTAATCTAGATTAAAAAAAATAATCTATGCCCACCTCTACTATAAAGCCAAAACAATCTCTGTTACCGTAAATTGTATGTTTATCTCTGTAAAGCTGCTTTGAAACAATCTCCATTGTTAAAAGCGCTATATAAATGAAGATGACTTGACTTGACTTACTTTTGTGTATGTCAGAAAAAAAAATCAGGGTTAATTAACCTTTTTTTCTTTTTCTTTTAAGCATATTTGTCCTGTAGCCCTTCCTGGATGCTTTCCCATGCATTTAAGCTGATACAGCACATAGCCTAAGTTCGACAAAGGTTTTGGAAGATAAGTGTGCTTGAGAAGATGTGGACCTCTTTTTCATAATTCAGTTCATAATATTATGTGTTGGTGATAGAACTGCACAAATGTTCATTGTTAATACTGATACTGTCAGCTGATAAAACTTGTGCTCCAGGGACCATGTCCATATAACATCTTGACAATGACATTGTCTTAGTGGGGTTTTCCCCTCAGGTTTATAATCCACACAGACAGATGACTTAAAGACAGTATAAAAACCCCAAGATGAAAGCGCATACACACTAGTTAGGACAGGTCAGGTTGCTGCATGACTGCTTGGTCAATCTGTCAGACAGTTAGCAACTGCCATGTTATCGACAGCTCATAATTGTCACTGTCTTTTATGTAGAAGAGCAAAGCATTTCTAAATGTACAGAATCTGTTGTAAGTATTTTAAATATTACACATTTATCCATATAGTATACTATACTCCATATAGGTCGAGCTGTAATATATTTGCTATATTTGCTCTTTTCTTCTTTGTTTAGAATGATATCATGTCTTCAGCCAGCAATGTCTACAATGTATCATCTGATCTGTCTCTTCAGGGCTTTGATCTGTCTCCTGAGAAGGCCATTGTTGCGTTTGTCCTTGCCGCTCTGAATTATATAATAATTTTGTTCTGCAACTCCTTCCTCCTGTTCACTATCATTACCAATAAGGCTCTTCATGAACCAATGTACATTCTCCTGTTAAATTTGCCTATTAATGACCTCATAGGCTCGACTTGCCTGTTTCCTCACATCATGCGGGAGCTCCTCTTTGACACCAGGACCATGTCGTTCTCCATTTGTATCACTCAGGCTTTCTTTATACATGTATATGCCGTATCTGTGGTCTTCATCTTGACTGCCATGGCATATGACAGATATGTTGCTATCTGCCAGCCAATGAGATACACTACCATTATGAGCAACGTTCACATCATGAAGATCATCTCATTGGTTTGGCTCTCTAATTTGACACTGATGGCCGTGCTTTTCATTCTCCTCCTGCGTTTGCCTCGCTGTAGGTCTTACCTTACCCATCCGTACTGTGACAATCCCTCGCTGCTTCAGCTGGTCTGTGCAGACACGACCATTAATAACGTTTATGGTCTGTTGTTGACAGCTGTCTGTCAGGTGGTAACAGTGGGTCTGATTTTGTACACATACCTAAGGATCCTCATAGCCTGCTTCCGCAACAAAAGCTCTGACACGAGGAGTAAAGCTCTGCAGACATGTGGTACACATCTAGTTGTCTTTATCTTGTTTGAGTGTTTGGGTCTTTTCACGATAATCTCATACAGGATAAAAGATATTTCTCCTCACTTAAGAAAATTCATTGCGGTTGCTGCTATGATATTGCCACCGACGATGAATCCTGTTATATATGGCCTGAGAACTAAAGAAATCAGGGTCAAAGGGATCAAATTTTTCAAGCAAAAAGTTTTTGCTTCATGAACAAATAACACTAGAGAGAATACTGGAATAAATTTTTTTTTAGAAAGGTGTCATACTAAATATCATTTGAATAAAACTTACAAAACTTTTTAGTTGTATATGCATTAATGTAACATATGAATCTGTCTTTCTGTCAAATCTTTCTCTCTCCATAGGCGTAATGGTTTTTGAACTGTACAAACTGTATAATCTATCCCGCTACACTTACCCTACATTACCCATCGCAGAAAACTTTTGGCATTTTTACATTTTTAATAAAACATTGTTTAGCATGTTTGTAAAGCCATTTTAATTACAAGGACTCAGGAAATGTTCTCATAAACCACGTTTACATTGTAACACCAGTGTAATACCCATGTATTTATACAAATTACACACACTTGCTTTATAAGCCATTTCAGTAACAGCAGTTTGTTTACTTTTTAAAATGTTAAAAAAATCAAATTTCTACTGTGGTAAAACCTGTAGGATTTCTTTGCATTTTTAGAATCACAAACTACCAATTTATCAGGTTGTCTCAAATCCTGACATATTCTTTTCTACTGGAATTAATTTGATTGATAATTAAAGAAGGACTTGATGCAATTCTAATTTATGACCACAAGAAACCTAAACCAATTTCTTTTTGCAATAGTACCAGTGGCATTGTTACATAGGCTACGTACAGTTTATACACATATACACACACACACACAATATATATATATATATATATATATATATATATATATACATACACATACACTGAACAAAATTATAAACACAACACTTTTGTTTTTTCCCCCATTTTTCATGAGCTGAACTCAAAGATCTAAGACTTTTTCTATGTACACAAAAGGCCTCTTTCTCTCAAATATTGTTCACAAATCTGCCTAAATCTGTGTTAGTGAGCACTTCTCCTCTGCCGAGATAATACATCCACCTCACAGGTGTGGCATATCAAGATGCTGATTAGATAGCATGATTATTGCTCAGGTGTGCCTTAGGCTGGCCACAATAAAAGGCCACTCTAAAATGTGCAGTTTTATCACACAGCATACTGTTTATATTTGTGTTTTCTGTAATCTTTTTACAAGCTCTTACACGTTGTTTACTGCTATTATCTACTAATTTGATGTCCCTAAAATCCCATCTTTATGAGAAAGAAAGAAACCATTTGTTTTCTAGCTACCCAAAACCATTATAATATTTTTAAACAAAGAATTAGTTTAGCAACTAACCCATTCAAATATGCATAGAACTGCAAAAATAACAGCAAAATCGATTTAAACAGTATTCTTTTTTTTAAGATCGTGAGATTTTATAATATCATTTTTTTCATTGCAATCATCCATTCTGTAAACCATTTATCCTTTGTAGGAACATTCATCCTGTGATGCTACAGTGCTGTTTACTCAGCCACTATATATGCCGTGTCTTTCATTCCTTCCTTGCTGAAAAAATCCAGCTTAAACCAGCATGAAATCATATTGGTTCAGGCTGGTTAGAGCCGGTGTAATGCTGATATACTGCTGGTCCAGCCGGTGGTCCGGCATATTAATGCTATTCTCAAGCAAAACTAAGCTGGTGAGCTGCAACCAGCACTCCCGCTTGCCATGATGGGGACCAGGCTCAGCAAATCAGCAGCATGGTGGTCCCAGCTTGAAAAACATACCTTATGCTGGTGATATTTTCTCTGGAAAACATTTATATAATTATACCCTTACATCCTAAGTGCAGAAATAGCTCACAGTAAGATGTTCAGGGAATAAAGGAAGCTAAAGCTGGACAGTGTAGCACAGACCAGAAAAAAAAAGGATTCCTTTCTTTTCTAAAGTAGTGACTAGATTCTGCTTAATACAGTATGTGAAGGATTATAGTGGTCCAGTTTGAGGAAATCTGCACAACAAATTATATTATTATTATTGTAACATTATATGTCTTTAATGGTTTTGTTTTAATACTTTGACCATGTCAGGAGAAAATGTGTGTTTTGCTCTCTGCTCTCAAGAATGAAAAAGCTATGTGAAAAAAGTAATAGGCCTATACATGAAATTAAGTATACACCCGTGTTATTTGAGGTTTTTGAATTTGAGTTTCAGTTAATATGTTATACCATAAGCAGAATTGTGGGTGTAAGTGTACCAACATACAGTGCCCTCCACAATTATTGGCACCCCTGTTTAAGATGTGGTCGAGGACTTCTAAAAATTCTCCTTTTTTTTTTAAACAACATATAACCCAAATGCAAAAAAAGAGAAAAATCCAACCTTTTATTTAAGTACATTACTTTGGTGGTAAAAAAAAAATCACACATTTAGAAGAAAAAAAACCTTGAAATCATGTGTCCCACAATTATTGGCACCCCTGATGTTAATACTTTGTACAACCCCCTTTTGCCAACAAGACAGCACTTAATCTCCTCTTATTTAGGGGTTATATAGGGGTGTAACCCCGGCATCCTGGCCAAATTTGCCCAGTGGCCTCTGTCCATCATGGCCTCCTAATAATCCCCATATATATATATATATATATATATATATATATATATATATATACACTGATTGGCTTCATCACTCTGTCTCCTCTCCACCAGTAAGCTGGTGTGTGGTGAGCGTTCTGGCGCACTATGGCTGCCGTCGCATCATCCAAGTGGATGCTGCACATTGGTGGTGGTTGAGGAGATCCCCCCTTCCATGTGAAGCGCTTTGAGTGCCTAGAAAAGCGCTATATAAATGTAATGAATTATCATTATTATTAATTATAACATTTCACAAGATTGGAGAACACAGAGAGAGGGATCTTTGACCATTCTTCTTTGCACAATCTTTCTAGATCATCCAGTGTCCTGGGTCCTCTCTTATCCACTCTCCTCTTTAGCTCGCCCCACAGGTTTTCGATTGGGTTGAGGTCTGGGGACTGAGATGGCCATGGGAGGACCTTGAGTTTGTGACTGCTGAACCATTTTTGTGTAGATTTTGCCACATGTTTTGGATCATTATCCTGCTGAAAGACCCAATGACGACCCATCTTCAGCTTTCTGGCGGAGGCCATCAGGTTTTTATTTAAAATGTCCTGGTAGTTCAAAGCATTCATAATGCCATGCACCCTAACAAGGTTCCCAGGGCCTTTGGAAGAGAAACAGGCCCACAGCATCACAGATCCTCCACCATACTTCACGGTGGGCATGAGGTGCTTTTCGGCATACTCATCTTTTGTTTTACGCCAGACCCACTTAGAGTGTTTGTTGCCAAAAAGCTCAATCTTAGTCTCATCTGACCAAAGCACACGATCCCAGTTGAAGTCCCAGTGCCGCTTAGCAAACTCCAGACGTTTACGTTTGTGAGTGTTAGTGAGAAAAGGCTTTTTCCTTGCATGCCTCCCAAACAGCTTGTTGGCATGTCTGATGGTTGTTTTGGAGACTTTGTGACCCTAAGATGCCACTCTTTGATGCAATTCTGTGACAGTGAGCTTAGGACTTTTTTTTACTTCTCTTACCATCCTCCTCACTGTGCGTTGTGGCAAGATAAACTTGGGACCTCTTCCAGCCTTGTTTGTCACTGTTCCAGTTGTTTTAACTTCTTAATGATTCCTCTGACTGTAGATACGGGCAAGTTAAGGCGAGTGGCTATTTTCTTGTAGCCATTGCCTGACTTATGAAGGTCGACACACATCTGCCTTACTTGAATGGTGTGTTCTCTTGTCTTTGCCATTTTGACAAATGGGTAAGAGAATTAGGCCTCAGTGTCACGTCATATTTATACCCCAGGGAAACAGGAAGTCATGAATTACTAATTAAAAGTTCCTAGATACCCTGACCAACTTTAGCAACTACAGAAAAATATATATATATATATATAAAAAAAAATCTATTAAAATTTTCAGCGTAATCGTTAGGGGTGCCAATAATTGTGGGACACATGATTTCAAGTTTTTTTTTTTCTTCTAAATGTGTGATTTTTTTTTTTTTCACCACCAAAGTAATGTACTTAAAAGGTTGGATTTTTTCTCATTTTTTGCATTTGGGTTCTATGTTGTTTAAAAAAAAGGAGAATTTTCAGAAGTCCTCGACCACATCTTAAACAGGGGTGCCAATAATTGTGGAGGGCACTGTATATGATATAAACTAGCTCAGGTTTGATGTGTTACTTGAAGAAATTTATTCAGGGGAATTGCCGGTGTAGGCCTTAGTATCATTCAGTGAAGGTCAAGCAATGGTTTTTATTTTATTAGGTTACTGAATTCATTGTCATCAGAGGTTTAAATGTTTGTTAGTTTATTTATTGCCATTTGGCTTTAAATTTTATTTTATATTAAATAATGAATCATCATATTAATCCAGAATACACATGGATCAAACAGATATTAGAGACATTTATGCCATGCAGTGTTTTAAGGTTGGTGTGAATTTCTGTCCAAATATATAGTATCAAAATAATAATAATAATAAATCCGTATAGGCAAAAACTGTCTTGTGTCACAGCAGACTTCTACTCTTATTGGATCTCAAAATACTGTGTCATCAGGAGCTCAACTTATTACCTGGAGACTTGTTAGATGTTAGTCTTGCATGTCAACCTTTTGTATACTGTAGCAACTGTAATTAGTCATTAGTTTAATGAATGTGCTTTCTTTATATTAATCATGTTTGTTTCTGGGGGTCTCTATAGGGAATCACTGTAGGTTTTTCAAAACAATATAATGAGTTTCTTAGGGACATGCATGATGAATCAAAAGTTTCACTAAGAGGATAGAATACTTTTACATTACTATTAGTTGTTAAATCTGTTATGGCTATTTGAAGGACTATTTTAACTATTGTCTTTATATAAACTATTACGATTTATAGGCCAGTAGACTCAATGCTTAGGCTTTGATGTATACAACTGCTTTTTTTGATGTTTTTTTGTGTTCATTTGACATAAGTCCTCATAAGCATAACAATAACTGGGGCAAATTTGACATTTAAATTTTCTTTTGATATTTTTGATTACATATGGCCTTTTATAACAATAACTGCCATCGGTGTATGAATGGGTGAATGTGAGGCAAACTGTAAAGCGCTTTGGTGGCCATTGGGTCTGTGAAAGCGCTATATAATGCAGTCCATTTACCATTTATAAAGCTCAAAAATCAAATTATCTGAAATATACTCATGCAAA